TTCTTTTTCTTCTTCTTCTTTTTTTGCTTGCTGTGATGAATAGAGTTGAAGTATACTTAATTACCCCCCCCCTAAAAAATACCCCCTGATATATAAGGAAGAAATTAGACCCATCTGCAGCAATTTCCAACCTCCCATATGAATGTTACAGCCTGTAGTAGCTTCTGGATTGCCACATGTAGATATGTCTGGGAAGTTATTGTGCCTTCAATGTGGTGTGTAATGTTTGTGTTGGTGGTTCTGACACTGTGCCCATGTGTGGTTCGCGGGTGCTCTGGTGTGGTCCTGCTCCTTCTTTTCTATCAAACATCTGTCATCCTTATCTCTCCTCCTCCTTTTGTTTGTAAGTTTACTCTCTAGTAACACCTCAAACTGTGCCACATATATGACCTATATGTTGCAAGTGCTGCAAACCTCTTTTTAAAAACTAAACTGTGACCATGTGGGGACTGAAGATGAGAAGTGGGAAACAAAAACTTTGCCTTGAAGACGATACTGCAAGTTGTCATTTGTTTCATTTTGTTTTCTCTCTGTTCTTCCAGGATGCCTCTGCGCTGTTGAATTCTCTCCCTGATGTGATATCGTGGGTGGTCCTCGACGGTTGGAACCATCTGGACTTTGTGTGGGGCGAGAATGCCGCTCAGCTCTGCTATCACCCCATCGTACAGTGGCTGCATAAGTTCTCACTGGGCTGAGCGGCGCTTGTGTGCGGGGGATAACTCTTGTGTGGGGGAAGGGATGTTTTAGTCTGTTTGAGTTGAGGGGAAGCGCAGTATTAAGATAATGTTCATACTTTTGTAGGATCTTTTGCTTAACACTTTGCAGTCACACAGCCAGCAGTACAAAATACCCCATCTGTTCACCCAGCCAGAAGAGTGACTGGAACGGACTTTTCGAGCCTGGCGCAGAAGTCGGCCAGGTGACTGGAATGGATAATTTTCACTGGTGCATTATTGCGCCAAGTCACTGCAAAGTGTTAACCAATGCCAAAACAAGGCGACTGATTGATTGACCCCATCCCCCTTCCCCTGCCTCACCTCTTTTTTAAAAAAATAAAAAAAATAAAATGATAATAAAAATACAAAAACACATCAATAACCGAACAAACGATAAAAAATCCACTCAAAAAAAGAAAGAACACCGATTAAAGAACTAAAAGAAAGTAAATTCGGAAAGGAAACATTGTCGTTGGTTCCCTTAGGCGGAGTGAGGTGTGAAGGCATCTCATGAACTCAAACAACAAACAAACAAATAAACAAACAAACGCAGTAAGAACACACAGTTCAGGACTGTGGTAGAGAACGATCCTACTGATAGTGGAGTGTTTTTGGGAGGAAGATTTTTAATTCTTCGATGTGCTCAAACTGGAAGTTCAAACTGCTGATTTGTTACTCAAAATGTGTTATTAGTTCAATCTCAGGCTTATTTTTTGTAATAAGACGTCATAATACTACCAAAAGACCTCACTTCATAATGATAAGTGAACCTTTCATGCTTACTCATATGTTCTTTTTTAGTTTTGTATTTTTGATTGGTCTACTAGTCCCATACTTGTGTGAACAAGTTTTCTAGCTCTCATCAGATTTTGTTTGTTTCTTCGATGGGATTGATTTGATGAAACGACCTAAATGTGTGTGCTGTTGTCTTAAACTTGACGTATTTTTAAACATTTTTTATCAAGGTGCTTTGTTTATTATAGGAAAAATAACTGCTACTTACTTTTAAAAGATTTTTTATAATTTTACCAGATATTTTCGGATGTGCACTATCAGAGCATGCTAGTCTTTTCAGTTCTGTCTATGGGGGACGTTGCTCAAACTGATCACAACGTTTTACACACACACACAAAATTACTTTGTGGGATTATTAGTCTCCCATCTGTTGCACAGGTGAATGTTGTTGTTGTTGTTGTTGTTGTTGTTGTTGTTGTTGTTGTTGTTATTGCCTTGTTGAAGATTAGGAAATGTTTTATCAAGATTCTTTTGGTTGAAGATCAGAAAATATTTTGCTTTGAAGATCAGAATATATGTTTTGTCTCCATGTTGTCTATTATAATGTTGTCTGACTGCCGAGTAATTGTTACTATTTTTAACAAAATGAAGGAGACATGGAAGACATATATATATATACCCAGTCAAAATTGTCTAAGACGGCCGGCCATTGTTGAAGAGAAAAGTGGCCATCTTACAAAATGTTATAATAATTTTATATAATGTAAAAATATCGCAAGAAAGGAAATGGGAAGTGGCCACTTGTACAGGGGATTGTGTCTTACACAACTGGCTGCGAGAGCAGGTTTGACTGTATCAGAAATTTGAATCATTCAGTTTGCCACGCGGGATGGCTGACTAACCAACCCTCTGTGCCTGTTCTGGGACCAATCTGTCATTTTTTCCTCACTCCTCTGGTGTGCTATGGATGCATGGACAGTTGGAGAATCTTTGCCATCAAAAGTAACAGATTAGGATCTCTGATAAGTTTACTTATTAACTTGATATGAGCTGACTCAGCAGAAAGTATTTTTGTTCATCTCGGAGGGGGCCTTAGATAATTACACAATTTGAATGTTCTCGTCTTCTGAGAAGACCATAGTTTAGAGTAGACTAGGTACCTCTCGCAGGCTGTTTGAAAGATATATGGATCTCTAACTTTAGCCTCATTTTCTTTCAACCAAGTGTTACTATTACGATTAAAAGGCTCTTCTTCTGGGAAAAATTCTGAAACAAAGATCTAAGATATCACTGCTTGGTTGCTATTTCAGAATGCTGTAGATCTACTAAGTGTGTCTATTTGTGCATGAGAAATCTAAGAAAGGTTGGTTTTCCCTAGTGGGAACGAACCGTTTTTCTTTACACTGAGTGTGGCAACTGTCGTTCCTGCTTATATATGTCTGTACTTTGAGACATCATGTGCCCTTGCTGTATTTTACACCTTAGCTGTGCGCTACATTGCTTTCATGCAAACAAATTCCAGTCACATTCAGTGCTTGGTATCATATCATTTATGCTTGCTATATTATGTTCCAATTATTTTATCCGAATGTAATAATAATGAACACAATGATAATAGATATATAATAATTATAATGATTATAATTATAATAATAATAATAATAGTGACTGTAAAATGCATTGAAAATGCCCTAGAGCGTAGATGCGTGCTATAGGAATGCAATTATTATTATTATCTAAATAATAATAGTAATAAACAGCATTTATGCTGCATATTTTTACTTTCAAAGATTTCTCAATGCCCATCACAGTCAAAGAGATACCATATTTTAAAATTACTTGACAGGTGTATACGTAGAACATAATATTACGTGTATATAAAAATTTCTCAACACGTTTTGCTTCAACAGAGTCTGGTACTATTACTTATGAGGTCAGTGGCACCATTGTAAGACCTGGTCAGACTCTCTTCTTCGAGACCTGTAATCTGGGATAAAGTTCTTATTCCCTTAGAGAGTTTTGAAAGCACAATTATTCCCAGATTGCTTCATTTGTTCAGTGTTCGTAGAGGTTTTGCTCTGCTTTAGATTTTGAACGCTCCCGGGAAGCCAAGAATGTTTCTGAGTGTTCTTGGGTCTGTTGGGGTAATATTAGTTATAAAGTGCATAGAGCATGCTGTCGAGCATGGATATGGGCTAAAAATGCAGTCATTATAATTATCATTATTATTGTTTCGCTTTTCATTCCACTCTCGCCAACGGCCAAGAAAAGTTCCTGTCGTTGTAGCGGGCTGTTTGTTCGTGTTGTACACCCCCCCCCCCGCCCCCCCCCCCCTGTACTGTACAGGTGTGTTGACAGATTTGTCAGATGACCAGTCCAGCATCCACAGGGGATTGACCAGTGAGAGCAAAATGACCGACGGAAGCGAGAGGGAATTCTGTTTCACTTCTAGAAGAAAAGGAGTGTAGAGTTTTTTTGGGTTGTTTTTTAATTGTTTGCTTTTTCTTCATGTCAGAGAGTTGCATTTTCACTTTATCCTTTCACTTTTTCCTTTTTATTATTAATGCACCCCTTCTTCCCCCCCCCCCCCCCCCCCCCCAATCCCCCTTCCCCGCCCAGGAAAAGATACACATTCACACACACACACACACATTATGCTGCAGAGCTAAGAAGAGTTCTTTTCATGAAGTGATAAAGGCTGACAGTGAACAAGTTTTGATATTGTGAACTTGGTTAGTGAAGTGAAATCCTGTGTTATTGAACTGGTCTTTTTTTTTTCAAGTTATATTTTATATTCTTCTAATGACTTGCGTGGTCTACAAGCGGCCTCTGTGCTTTACGCCTGACCTGTGTGTGACATCTGTGCTCTGCCTATAATAACCTCTTTGTTCTGCTCATGACCTTTGTGTGACCTCTTTGTGACTTGCGTGTTTTATAAGTGACTGAGACAGCTCCCTACTGTTATATTGATGCCTTATTTTCAGACATTTGTCTTTTTCAGCATTGTCAGTGAACGGGTCTAGCAGTTGATTTTTCGTGTATATAATATATATATACTTCTATAAAGTTTTCTTTACACATGTATCAAAGTCTTATCAGACTGGTAATATTTTGAAATTAACGATATGTGCCTTGGCTGATAAAGAAGAAAGATTTATATAATATTTAACTTTGCAGAACAATCTTTTTATGCACATGATATGTTTCTCGACTTGCTGTGTAAAGTCTCACAGAAAGGAATGAGAAAAAAAACCCAATGACCTGGAGGTCCTCATACACTGATAAATTTGATTCCTGCGCCAAACAAAAGATAGAATGTTGATATATTATAAAAGTTTTATTTTGTATTTTTGGGCGGGAATTATTTTTTTAAGTGACATGTGGGTGGTTGGCGGGTGCTCTGGTCTGGTTTGCTCCTTCTTTCCTATCAAACACCTATCGTCCTTATCTCCCCTTGTTCTTTTTTATGTTTGTTACTCTCTTGTAACACCTCTAATCTTCTGGCGCTCATATGACCTTATACAGTTGCGAGCGCCGTAAAACCTCTACTAAAACTAAAAAAACTAAAAAAGTGACATTAGACAGTCAGTTTGTTTGTACACATGCATGTGCACATTTTTATACAACATGCCCTTCGGCTCTTGTTTTAATTGACTTAATTTTTTTTTTTTAATGTAGAGTTCTTTTACTTTTATTGTCTGTTTTTTAAAAAGTGTTTTTATATTGATTTTTTTTTTTTTTTTCAAGTTTTCATTTCTTTTCTACCCCTGACATCCAAGAGGGTGGTTGGCGGGTGCTCTGGTGTGGTTTGCTTCTTCTTTCCTGTAAAACATCTATCGTCCTTTTCTCCCCTCCTTCTTTTTTATGTTTGTTGCTCTCTTGTAACAGCTCTAATCTTCTGGCGCTCATATGACCTTATGCAGTTGCGAGCGCCGTAAAACCTCTACTAAAACTAAACTGACGTCCAAGACATTCACGGATGTCGAGACACTGATAGAAAGCTACTTTTGAGACGACTGACGACAAGACCGCGATGTTAAGACACTCGCATCAAGCTACTGACGACAAGACCGCGATGTTAAGACACTCGCATCAAGCTACTGACAACAAGACGGCGATGTTAAGCTATAAGACACTCACATCAAGCTACTGACGACAAGACCGCGATGTTAAGACACTCACATCAAGCCACTGACCAGAAGACTTTGATGACAAGATAATGGCGTCAAGACATGACTCAAAAAGTGAAATTTGTTTTAATTAGATACTGACACGACCCACTTTACACTTGTAAAAATTTAGAGAAAAATCGGACATTTTATTCCTCTAAGATATTTTTTCTAATTAATTCTACTAATAATACAGCTGTTACCCCAGGTAATCTACAGTTGATGGTAATCAGCAATATTTGCTCTATTACTACAATACATTATGGACTCTATTGAACAGTGCTCTCGGCAATTTTTGCTCTATTAGTATTAGTACTATTACTACAACACATTGATTCTACTGGACAGTGTATTCTGCAATATTTGCTCTATTAGTACAATTAAAACACACTGTCATAGACTTTTGTCAACTGTGTACTCAGACCTGTCTGGCCGCACTGGCCCCTGCTGAAATGTTGTGCCTTCATCTTACAATTAAAAGATTTTCTCTTGAAAAAACACAATTGTTGTTTGTTTTTTGTGTAAATCTTGTGGGTTTTGGGGGTTTTTTTCCTTTCCTGTTCATGGTGTGAATCTTGTATTCTTTTGGGTTCTTTCCTGTTTTTGGTGTGAATCTTGTGTTTTTGGGGTTCTTTTGTGTTCTTGGTGTGAATCTTGTCGGGGGGGAGGGGGGGTTCTGGTCTTTCCTGTTTTGTTCTTTCGGGTTCTTTCCTGTTCGACACAGTTGTTAAAACAATATAGTGGCTTACTGCTCTGTGATTGGAGTTTGAGCCTGTGCTTGTTACATTCCACAAAGCCACCTGTCTCTTACACTGGATAGTTTTGTTACATACCAACATTCTGTTTTGTTTTGGAAAGAGGTTTTACGGCACTTGCAACAGCGTAAGGATCATATAAGCGTGTAGGACGCTAGTTGGTTGTTTTCAGCTTTGGAAGGAATAAATTTTTTATTTTGCTTGGTTGGCAGCTGAAGCCTGCTCTTATCGATTATATAGGACCATTAAGGAATCTTTAACGAGCGCAATTTGCCCACAGGACCTCATCGATTTTTTCATCCTTATCTGAGAAGGCTAGGTGTTCGATTTTACCTACTCTAAGATCAGGGGTGTGGCTGAAAAGACAGCAGTAAGATTGAGCCAAGAAGTAGCAGCAGAAAGAGAGAGGAATCTAGAGAAGGGAGGAAGCAGAAAGTAGAGATGAAAGCAGACAAAAGAACATGACTAGAGAGAGAGAGAGTAGGAAAGGAGATGAAAGAAAACTTTAGAGAAAATCTTTCGTCACTTTCGGAATTCAAACCCGAGACCTATTGAATGAAAGGGGAACACCGTACCTCTAGACCAGGAGAGTCCCCCATCACTCTGTGACAGCAGCAAAAGTCTACTCTACAGTCCTTCTGTGACAAGATCACGAACAACAGAAACAAAACAACTCTATACAGTATATGTTTCTAGGTTGATTTATTCTTGGCAAATGACACAGCAGAGAGTCAACTGTATGGACGGAACCGCGTATGGAATGGAAGTTTAATTTATATATTATTTATATCAACAGTACCCTTTTGGGTTATGAACAAAATTTCACTCTGCTGTGACTAAAAGGCACAAAGCTATCATTCAAGGTAGATATGTGTATATCATATAGACTACATAATATATATGTGTGAGGACAACATTACAACAAACCGCACACTTTTTGATAATTCAGGTATTGGCGTAGGAGAATGAGAGAAGCATTGTCAGTGAAATGGCTGACTTCGGCTAAGCAAGTCTTAGTCTTCCCTCCTTTTTCACTCTGTATGCATATATTCTTCCAAAGCTCTCAATCATTCACTTTCTCACTCTCTCTATCCTTTTCGTTTAATAACTCTCTCACTCATTCCATCAAGCACACTCACATACTCGTTCTGTCCGTCTCTCTCTGTTTCTGGCATTAGTCTGTCATGCTGTCTGTCTGTCTCTCTCCAGGAGAAAGAATGCGGGTCACTCTTAAATCAGACGCCCAAACTTGGATATTATTGACCAGCTTCCCAACCATGGATGACCCAATGGTAGCCTTTGACCTGACACTGGCACAAGTGAGGCCTATATTGTATACATATGTAGTAGAGACAAAATCTCACGTAAGGCCTATATTGTTGCATCACACGTGTTGCAACCTCAGAGCTTTCTTGTTGCATCTCCATTTTATTGAACAGAGAAAACAGTTCATACCAAAGAGTGAGCTTAAGAAAAGTCACATTTTCAATGTAAAAAAAAAATGAAGATACTACAAGAAAGCACTGAGGTCTCGATGTAGTAGAGACAAAATCTCAAGAAAAGCCTATAATATTGTTGTCTACACATGTAGCAGAGACAAAATCTCAAGTAAGGCCTATATTGTTGTCTACCCATGTAGCAGAGACAAAATCTCAAGAAAAGCCTATAATATTGTTGTCTACACATGTAGCAGAGACAAAATCTCAAGTAAGGCCTATATTGTTGAATAGCAGGGACAAAAATCCTTCTAGCGAGAGGAAGAACCAGACCGCATCCTGCTACTGCTCTGTCCATCGGCAGCGGTCACTTTTTCCACGGAGGATGGCAGACGGCGTTTGGTGGGTCCTCTCTGCACCTGCCTGGCCCGCTGACCAAAGCCCAGACACTGGAGCGACTCGGTGATGTAGCGCTGTGCCGGGGACACACACAGTAGGACTAGCAGCTTGGCGTCACCTCCTGCAGGGGACAAGGAGAGAGATACACACACAGGGAGTTTAGTTTTTTACAGCACTTTCATCAGGGTTTGAGTCACACAGGGAGTTTAGTGTTTTTACAGCACTTTCATCAGGGTTTGAGACACACACAGGGAGTTTAGTTTTTTACAGCACTTTCATCAAGGTTTGAATTGCACAGGGAGTTTAGTTTTTTACAGTACTTTCATCAGGGTTTGAGACACACAGGGAGTTTATTTTTTTACAGCACTTTCATAAGGGAGAGATACGCACGGGGAGTTTAGTTTTTTACAGCACTTTCATCAGGGTTTGAGACACACACACACGGGGAGTTTAGTTTTTTTGTAGCAGTTTCATCACGGTTTGAGACATGTATAAGGAGTTTAGAGTTTTACAGCACTTTCATCATAGTTTGAGTCAAAAAACGAGTTTAGTTTTTTACAGCACTTTACAACAAGTTTCCCAATGGGACAATAAAGTATCATCTTATCTTTAGTCAGGGTTTGAGCACACTGTCGATTCACATAGGAGAACACTTACAGAAGGTGTGAGTGTCATAGTCATAGATTTTTTTTTTTTTAAAGTCTGAAGGTTGTTTTTTTTAACCTGCATGTTGAAATGGGATTACAAGCTCTTTCCCTTCTGAAGTTTTTATCTGGATTTCCGGAATCAGATTTAATGAATTTCTAGTGAGTTAAAAACATTCACGGTGACAACAGGAAAATCTAAAACTTCAAAAGTAATTTCGAGAGTAAAAAATCACGATTTTGGAATCAGAGAAAATAAAAATAAAATGACAATGGATTTATAAACAAAAACTCATAAGTATTTTAAAAATAACTTTTCAGTTGACAGTCAAGAAAAGAGAAGCTAAACTCATGTACATGACATCCCAACTAGGCCTACTTATACAAGTACAAGAAAGGGAAAGAGGGGATAAACTTTTATCTATAACTGAAGTTGCAACAGTTGGAATTACCCTTACAGACCCATTTCTAGAAAATTATGAAGGTTATAAACCTGATGATCCAACTCGCTTACACACAAATACCTATCTATTCAAATAAAGAAATCTTAACCTACATTGAACATTTGCAGTTCTATAAAATTTTGTTCTATCAATGTCTTGTAAAATCTTAGAATTAAAGATGTGAAATAAAACCTCATGACTGATAACAAACAAAACTAAAAAAAGACAAATGTGAGCAAAACTGACATATCTGCATTCAGCCCCCTCTTGCCAATTAATAAAGACAGAGACGGAGAATTATCCACTGACAGTGCCACTGTATTGACTCTCGTTAGACATCAATACACGTCTCTTGTATAACAGTTTGAGATTTCCTTTTCCTCTCGAAGTTGAAGTACATCTCATTTCTTCTTGACTGACCTGAGCGGAATTTTAAAAAATCATAGATATATAGTATGCTTGTTATAAACACATATTGCCTGAGCAGGACAAGTGAGCTCACCGATAGAATCCTGCAGGAAGTGTGTCAGACGGGAGTTCCTGTACGGCACGTGTGTTCGATGCTCGGCCAGTGCTCCGAGGACATCAGCCAGTGCAGACAGACTCTTGTTGATGAAGGAGGCTTCCCGCAGTGCCACGCCCTTCACACCCGACATGCCTGAGAGGGTTGGGGGTGGTGGGAAAGAGGGAGTCAGTTTTTAAAGTTTGAGTAAGAGTTTTACGGCACTTGCAACACAATAAGGTCATATAAGTGCCGAAGACTAGAGGTGTTACAAAAGAGTAACAAACACAAAAAAGAAAGATAGGAGATAAAGATGATAGATGTTTTATAGGAAAGAAGAAGCAAACCACACCAGAGCACCCGCCAACCACCCACAGGGAGAGTCAGGGGTCAAGTCATAGTGTAGACACATACAGCTCACAGAGGAGAATCGAAGGTTGAAGGTGTGTCGATGTTTTGGTTGGTAAGAATATATTACAGCAAGCTCAAATAAACAATTCCTGTTAGCTAACAATCAAAACTGGAAGTAAAGCTGAGCATTTCTTACAGAAGGTATGGCAACTCTAAAGGATAAAGCACAACATTTTTAAGAAGGTGAGTGTGTTTGGACATTTTAATTTTTGAAAAATATGTCCTTACCCCTTCTACTACCATCTCCCTCCCCCTTTCCTCCTTCATAATACTCCCCCCCCCCCCCCCCACACACACACACAAACACACACATACTTTCTTACATGAGCTATTAACTAGACAAAATTCACTGTTTCCCTCGTTTTATCAACACAAGCAGACCATAGAGGTTTAAATGGTCACTACATTGTACATGTTTGGATTTTAATTACAGTAAGTAAGGCTAAGGACACACTCCAGTCTTACCAACACATTCACTTCCTGCCAAGTCTACCAGCTGTAGTTTAGTGCGTATCACTGGTTGCTGATTGGCTGGCACCTGACCTTGACCTATGCCTTGCAGCTGGTCATTCGTCCAGGTCTGTGACAGCGAGCGACCTTTCTTACCCAAACCCACTGGGAGGGCAAATGGTGCATGCGTAGAGAAAAAGAAAAACAAAGAAATAAAAACCACACAGCGTCGACAATTATCGAAAGAAAACTAGAAGGATTGACAAATGTATTTGACACATCCATAATTTGGGTTAACCAATAAAATGAAATATAAAATTGAATGAGTTTGTGTTATCAGTGCCTGTCTGTACTTTGAAGCGCTGACAATGAAATACAACATCTATTTGATCCAAAACTCATAGAACTTCACACAGGTATTCTTACTTCTAATACGTGTGACATGATGCAGTGGAATCAGGCCCTCGTCAATTTTTGGGCACAAGGAGTTATAGGTATCATCTTAAAGCTTTTTCATGTCTTGCTTTCAATATAAAAAATATCCATTTATCTTTGAATACAAGTCCAGATAAGTTTGATTGAAGGAGGTAGCGATTGCCTGGTCTCAGAGGTAAAATTAGCTAGAAAATGGCTGTTTAGGTTTAGTTGTTTCTTTCGTTTGAGAGTCCGTGGAAACAGAAAATTTACTGTTTATGCCTTTAATTGACTTTTTTTCAGTTTAATGGACATGAAGGCGCTGAGCCAAAAAACCCCCAAAATTCAATAAAAATTCTCAAACTTGCAGAAAAATGCTGGTTTCTTCACTTTCATTAATTTGACATGAGCCTGATTTCACCACGTTGCCTCACATATGCTTTTAGAAACACAATTGAAAAACCTTAGTGTTTATGTGAAAACTATTTGACCGATGGATTCTGCTCAAGGATAGAAACTCGCTTTAATTTAAATGAGAAATCACTTTTACTCAAAAACAAAAACTCTTCAAGATTCAAGGGCTACAAGTCAACATATTTCTGCCAGATCTGGTGTCAAATCATTTCCCGACACTATCTCCCCTGTCTAAGTCTAAGACGTTGTCACCTTCAGACAAATTGGAGTCCACCGACGCCGACTTGGCAAAGAAGCTGGGAGCCTTGGATGTGACGGTCAGCGTGACGATGAGGTGGGAGCGGCTGGAGTGTTCGTGCACCAGTGTGGCTGTCTCTCTGCGCGTGCGGAGACCTCGCTGGACCAAACACATGACGGCGTACACCGTGTCCACAGGCCTGGTGTTTAGTTTTTAGTTTTATTAAGTGTTTTACGGCACTTGCAACACAATAAGGTCATATAAAATATAAGTGACGAAGAGAAGAGATGTCACAAGGGAGTAACAAACACAAAAAAGAAGGAGGATAGACAAAGACGATAGACTTTTGATAGGAAAGAAGAAGCAAACCACACCAGAGCACCCGTCAACCATCCACAGGCCTGGTGGAGAGTGATGGGAGGGAGTTAGGTGAGAAAGTAACACCACAGGCAATGGTAATGTTTTATTGCTAGTTTTGGCAAGAGTTTTGTGACACTTGCAACACAGTCAGGTTATAATTATATAAGTGCTGACGATTCTAGAGAGGTGTTGCAAATGAGTAACACATAAAAAAGAGGATAAGGACGATAGATGTTTGAAAGGAAAGCATGAGCAAACAACATCAGAGCATGGGTTAGGGGAGAGAGCAACAGGTGGGGTTGGGTGAAAGAGTAGAAAATGGGGGTTTAGGATAAAGATTGCAAGTGGGAGTTGGAATGGAGGGTAACAGGCTGCAGGTTAGGTACGGTAGTATTGTAATGGTAGGGGTGGGGATAGGTGAGCGAGGAATGAGACAGAGTACGGTGAGAGTGGATCAGACAGGTGTTTGATGAGAGTCTTACAGGCAGAGGTAAAGTGAGCGTAGTTGGGACTGAGGGTGGTTTTTTTTAACAAAATATGGCAGTATATGACATTATTTCAAAACCTGAACTGATGGAGGAACAAATTTGCATCCCCTTCACGTACAGTACGGAACTTTTCATTTTCTTCATCTCAGGTTAGGAACTTTGGGCGAGTTGTGCTCTTAAGTCTAAACTGGTTTATCAAAAAGCACAATAAAGTGGATGAATGAATAAAAAAGTTGAGAAACAAGAGTTCTCATATTCTTCTAGAACACTACAGCACATATCAGCATATAAGCAGAAATGTATATATAGCACAAGTATATAACAGACAAATAATTCGTGCCAAAGTGATGGGAGATATACCTAGCTGTTATATACAACAAATAAATCATCACACTTTGAGATGACTGTGGCTGTACTGAGCAGTTAAACAAAGAAAATAACAATAGCTCGTCTATCAATGTCTGACAAAGACCAATACATCCACAGAGGAGAATATTTCTTCAGTGAAACTGAAGAATTTGAAGAATTAAAGGTTTTACGATCATTTATGGCTTCTGCTGCGGCTGATGTGATAAATTCTAGCAGAGAATAGTTTGCCACATTTTGAACATTTAAAGGCTCCTCTTCCATTTGTGGGTGTGTGCTACTTGCGGGCTTCTCTCTTGGTTTCAGCATTTTTTATTCGTGAAGCCTCATAAAGAAGTATGTCACTTCGAGGTGATAGTAGGTATACTAATTTGTTATATACGGCTGATGATGGAGACAATCAGCCTGCCCAAACTGAAAAGGACCCTAATGAAGAGGGGCAAGGAAGCATGGAGCACCCTGACTTCCTAAGACCCCAGTTTTACATTCAAGCATTCAAATATTCATGTATACAGCAGTGGGACACTTACTTCGAGATGACGGTAGGTATACTGAGTTGTCCGTCGCCCCCGGTGATGACATCGTGCTTGGCGTTGGGGTCGCTGCTGAGAAGGTCACGGATGTCGTTGTTGTACACCTCTACCACCGACACCTCGATCGAGTGGGTGCCGGGCGCCTTCTCCTCAATCAGCCTGACAAAGACATCACAAGATGAGATCAACCACAGTACAAAATACACTGCAAGAGGAGGTCTATAATGGGAAAAAACTTTATGTGAGAGGAGACAGATAATTATCAGATGAAAGAGCATTTTCAGAAAGCCATGAGATCTAGCATACACCTCCCTCACTCTCTCCCTATTATTAACTTATTCTTTGCCTTACCCCTCCCTTTCCGATCCCAAATATTAAAAAAAACCACACACCCTTACACCTACCCCCCCCCCCCCCCCCACACACACACATGAACACATCCACATCCACATCCACACACACACACACACACACACACACACACACACACACACACACACACACACACACACACACACACACACACACACACACACACACAGAGTATTTGCATACACTAAAGCGTCTCTCAGCATAACACAAACTACTCAGTGGACAATAGACGTATCTGATCACTGCTCACAATCATACATCTCTCATTGAGCTCAAATATATCTTGGGCCAAGAACTCTGATAGATCAACATGTTCCACAGAGCTAACAAGAGAGGGCACTGACTCAACACAGTTCCACAAGGGTTGGGAAAAGGATGACAGCAGACGGAGTTAGCGGAGGGACAAGACCTGCAAGCTGTGACCTCTACCTCTATGTTGTAGAAATGATAGGTTCTATTGAAGAAACAAAGAAAGAAACCTCTATCTACATGTTGGGGAAATGATACATATTCTATTGAAGAACCCAGGAACCTTACCTTTATAAACATGTTGGAGAAATGATACGTTCTATTGAAGAACCCAAGTAACACACCTCTATCCATATGATGGGGAAATGATACATTCTTTTGAAGAACCCAAGTAACACACCTCTATCCATATGATGGGGAAATGATACGCTCTATTGAAGAACCAAAGTAACACACCTCTATCCATATGATGGGGAAATGATACGCTCTATTGAAGAACCAACGCAGGAAACCTTTCCGCACCTCCCAACATCACACACAGCACAGAATTTACAGGTAGAAAGGAAGAATAAGATGATGCAGCACTTTAATCTACAGCAGATCAGTCAGCTACAGTGTTGACCAACAGTGTTCCTATTTGAGGCGTGCTGGCAAAATGATTTACTTCTCGCGACCCACAAATGGAGATACTGGCCAAAAATCGATATTAGGGTCAAATTTGTAGATTTTCCAAAAAACCAATATTATATTATTTCAAATTTATAAATTGTAAAAACTTCACCAATAAGCGTGATGTATCTATTTCCTTAAGGCTTGAATCTGAGAAGTAACTCATTTTGTCAGAACACACCACGTATATCCTTGGCTATCTCCCAACCCTGACATGCTTGTATGTGCCCTCAAACCTGAACAGTTCTCGCGTAGCTCTCGGTATGACTCCTTCATCAGGATGCGGGTCTTGGCTCGGGTTGTAGTCGTCATTGCGGTGACTGCCGAGCATGGTGTGAGTTTTCCCACTTCCTGTCTGCCCATACGCCATAATGCAGATGTTGTACCTTTGAGAGAGTAAAACATACAAAACAAATTTTAATGTAAGCCTATGCATAAAAGATGATAATCTCAGCAAAGACTAGATACACACCACAAAGATGTCAGCCTAAATCTAAGAATGATGAGTTAGGCAAAGTGCAGTACACCGAAAATAACATTAGCTCATGGCAAATTATGATAAATTCAATAAAGAAAAATGTGCACAAAGGCTTACAATGAAGAGTCATCGCTTGTGATCATTAAACAGGATGTCTAACAATAACAATAAGATATCTAGATATGCTGACTCAGTATCAATAAATGTAAGACAAAAGTGTAATATTGAGATAAGACAAGATAAAGCAGGAAAGGATACAACATCACAAGCTACATGGTAACAATGTAACATCATGTGCAATAAGAAAACACAAAAAGTGAGAAAGGAAGATCAATAACTTGTGACCTCAGTGCTTTCTTGTCCTATCTTCATTTTTTTTTTTACATTGAAAACGTGACTTCTTCTTAAATCCACTCTTTGTTATGATCTGTTTTCACTGTTATTAAAAATGGAGATAGGACAAGAAAGCACTGCTGTCGGGAACTGGCTTTCAGCAGTGTTCGAAAGAGAGCAAGACAAAATAAACTTCTCACCCATCCAGCAGGGAGGTGAGCATGGGTTGTACTTCATCAAACACAGATTCCTGCTTCTCACTGGGGCTGTACACTCTGGTCAGAACAAAACAACATATATTGAACAATACACATTGAACAATACACATTGGACAATACACATTGGACAACACACATTGAACAACACACATTGAACAACACACATTGAACAGTACATATTGAACAATACACATTGAACAGTACACATTGAACAGTACACATTGAACAGTACACATTGAGCAATACACATTGAACAACACACATTGAACAACACACATTGGACAATACACATTGAACAATACACATTGAACAATACACATTGAACAACACACATTGGACAATACACATTGGACAATACACATTGGACAACACACATTGGACAACACACATTGAACAGTACACATTGAACAGTACACATTGAACAGTACACATTGAACAGTACACATTGAACAGTACACATTGAACAGTACACATTGAACAATACACATTGAACAACAAATGTTGAACAATACACATTGAACAATACACATTGAACAATACACATTGAACAACCAATGTTGAACAATACATATTGAACAACACACATTGAACAACAAACGTTGAACAATACACATTGAACAATACACATAGAACAATAAATGCTGAACAATACACATTGAACAATACACATTGAACAGTACACATTGAACAATACACATTGAAAAATAAACAATGAACAACAAAAGTTGAACAATACACATTGGACAGTACGACAGGGATTTTAAAAAATCAGATCTATATATTAAACTTTTCTATTCTTCAGGATAACAAAAATATAAAAAAGCAGGCATTCGTCTGTTTTCCTTCACACACTTCATCTCTGCTTACAAAAGTAAATTTGCTCTGAGAGGTTTTGGTCTCATGAAAACAAGAGTCTAAATTAAACAGAATTCTGTACGTCTGAGATCAGAATTTGAGCAAAAATCAAATCAAAATATAAAAATAAGCAAATCTTGTGTGATCCAAAAATGAAAGATTATTGGTTAATCTGCCAAAATTATGACAATAAGACTTTACGTTTGAACCCTAGACAGACCCAACACTGATCCACTTGTTCCACTCCACATGAGATGATGATTCATGGAGTTTCTTTTGCTCATATTCCTGCCGAAATGTAGACACCATGATCTTTACAACTTAGTATTACAAAAATCGGTGTAATACGCCTTTTCCGGATTAGGCGCCTGCCTGATTGTTTTACCTTTCATATTCAAAGACTTTGTTGTGCTTGCTGGTGCGGACACAGACGTTCTCCTGAAGAGAAAAAGATCACACTTCATAAGATAAGATAAGAGGTATAAGATATGTATCTTTATTGTCCAGATACTGGCACATTGGTTTGGTGTTTCACCACGTACACACATACACACACATGCACACACGCACACACAAACACACACACAAACATGCACACACATGCAGTATGCTTGCATTCACAAACAGGCTTACAGTCGCAAGCATAATATAAATGAACAAAAATATAAACAATATTAATGTTAAGCTAGATACATACTCATTATTCTGATTGTAACTCTTCTTGTAGAAATGGGAAATGACTACTGTCCACATATTCAAACACATTCCATTGCATTTACAATAAAACCTAAACATCACCGACTGTATATGCCTCACAGCCAAAGACTTGTTATACAAAGATACCCCTGGAAAATGCTGGGACAGAAGTGCAAAATAGTTCTCCACACTAAACTGTTTTTAGCTGCTCTTTGATTCACTTCTCCTTCGAAAGCAATGTAAACATCAGCCGTGGAAAACTTGGTATCAGCAACAAAAAAGTTACCTTTTTATGCACATTTAACCTTCTAAATTTAAAAGTATATGCTTATTTCTGAGTGACAGTTCATTACAAATCCCCCTCTGTTCCTCTCTGTTCCTCTCTGGACACACTTACATCATCCACATAGTGAACAACCACCTCAGACTTAGTGCCAGGCCTGTAGATACAAACACAAAACAGACAGTGATTGAAACATAAGCCTGCAAGAATTTTTTTTCTATTCTCAGAATGATTTTGCTAAGGTGATGAGACACTAAACTGCACATAGAGAATTCATACATGGAGCAATGGCATGTATACATCACTTGATTTCCTCAAAGGTAAACATGAACGTAATGCTTACAATTCTCATTCATTGAGACAACTGACAAATAAACATACAATACAACAGAGACATAAAAATAGAAAACATAGGCAGAATAATCAAGAGGACAGTAACCGAGAAAAACAGGTGCAATAAAATATTTCATTTATTATAAGCATCGGTGGAATAGTTAGATTTTTCACCTTCCTAAAGTAGAGACATCCTCATTTTCTCCATCAAACTCCATGAGCGGCCTCAATCTTCCATGAACTCTAATATTTCCACGGAGTTCCTGCGGAAATATGAAATTCCTTTGAGATACATTTAAAAAACTTGTAAAATAAAAACATTCAGCATGAAGCACTCATCCATACTTAGGACACTTGAATATGAGGAACAGCATTTGAACCGGACATACATTGTGAAGTCTATAACTAACTGTACTTTCTCTATGAACAAACACTAGTCTTTGCACTTTCTAGTAATAAATATGTGTCGTGGCAAAAAGAAATCCCTTGTATATGGACATGTTTATTTAATGTTTTCTTGACCCTACCTGTAATCTAACAAATGGTCATCTTCATTAGATTATCTATTCAGGACTATAAGCATTCGTAGAGCATAATCTTCAATCAGAGGTAAGTTTTTTTATCAGCCATGATAATGTAGGTGAGGGTATACCCTTAGGGTATGGCCTAAAGACACTTCAGTCAGTAGCATCGCCCCGGGGGGTATAAGAGCGTTATCTCTACCACCCTATCCAAGAGCATCACGTACCATGAGAAGGTTGTGCAACTCTTGCCTCCTCCGTTTCTCTCGGGCATGTTGGTCGGTGATGTCACTCAGAGTGTTCTGTAACTGGCACACTTGGTCGGCCAGGGCTGGGGACAGCAGAGGGGAGAGAAGACTGGTACACTTGTAGTATAATACAGGTGATATTCTGGGTCTCACAAGCAATATCTTTTTGATGACAAGAAAAATCCCTGAGACTGACCTACTGAACATCTTAGTTTCAGTGGTATAATACAGGTGACATTCTGGGGGTCACAAGCAATATCTTTTTGATGACAAGAATAATCCCAGAGACGGACCTACTGAACATCCTAGTTTCAATCAGATTGGAGGGGGGGGGGGAGAGGAAAGTTTAACCCTTTATACTCTGAACACCCGAGTAATTACACTGATTTTTAGGTATACTTTTCTACAGCTCGTTTTAGCGTTGATCTTATCTATTTATCTCCTTTTTGCTAGTTTGTAATATCACTATGCTGGGCATATTGATGCTGTTGTTTTGTATTTGAGTTCTTTTTCAGTAAACACATGTCATATTAAGGTGGGTGTGTTATACCAATATTTCCATACCCTAAGGCATTTGTAGCGTTGCATTCATACTGATATTTCGGTACAGAGAGTTCAATGGGTTAAAGGCTAAGCACATAGTTGTACTGTTTCTACTCACCAGTTATGTTTGAGGAGTGAGACTGGAACTCTGCGCTGTGATGCTGAACAACAGTTTTTGCTCTCTGAAGGAACTGCCCAATCTGATGAGGCATGTCCAAGGCAAGAGCACGAATCTTGGAGAGTTCAGACTTTAAATTCTGAAAAGCACATAGAAACATGATGAGACAAGATACTTGAGGGATAAAGTTTGGGGATATTTTAATACATAAATCTCTTATTGTGCTTCATCTGCTTCTGCTTTACAAATGATCTTGAACAGCAGCACTAGTTTCTGCTGTGACAATGCTGAAAACAACCAAAGAAAAATATTCCGGTAAGCAGAGAAGCAAAAACTAAGGGAAATCCATGAGCCATGACTGATGTCATTTAAAGAAAAAAAAATTGTTGTCGCTAACATCATCAACATTATTTAGGCCTCGAGAGCTTTATCTCATACTGAGAAAAAAAGGAATAGTATAAGTTTTATGCCCCCATTGACACTCATTAATTTAGATAATTTAGGAGGCTGGCTGCTTTGACCCTGCAAGTCAGGGTTAACCTGTGCTAAGAGGGATACAATGTCTCAGGAGAAAGATGGAAATGTTCAGTAAAAGTTCTCCACACACTGCTCAGCAGCAAAGGCAACATCACGGATGCTGCTCCTCAGACTCATTTTGTTTTTTTTGGGGGGTTTTTCAGTAAGAGTTTTAAGGCACTTGCAACACAATAGGTCATAATTAAGTGCCGAAGATTAGAGGTGCTACAAGAGAGTAACAAACAAAATAAAGAAGGAGGAGAGATCAGGACGACAGATGTTCGATAGGAAAGAAGGAGCAAACCACACCGGAGCACCCGCCAACCATACACCCTCAGACTCAGACTGCTCAGAAGTTAATGAAATGCATTAGCAGGAAAGTCAACAGTCAAGGTGCATTAATGAGTACACAAATATTACGTCAAACAGACATAGATATGAAGCCAAAGCTTGAAAGAAAACAATTGTCTAAAAGCCACAACCCAGTGTCATTGCACATATATATTTATATACCTGCGCCTCCAGACAGAGCTGGCCAGCTCTCTGCTTCACATTCATTTTAAAACGGTCTCCAGTCTCCAGAACAGCGTTAGATGCAGACGCTTCTTCTTTGGCCGAGGAGACCTCTCCACGCAAGTTGGCCAGTTTTAAATACAGCATCGCATTTTCTGTTTCCAGTGATGCAATCCGCTCATCTTTCCTCTGAAAACGCAGGAGAATTTTCTTAGCTATACACTGCAGTGAAGTGTGATTATTTAGATCCTTTAAAAAATGTTTATCATGATGCATTCGATTTGATTCACTACTTTCATCACATAAACAAGAGTTTTTCACTCCAAAGCAATAGCAAGTTATTACAATTCAGTTTCTCATATTGTAAACTTCTACAGCAGATTCTCCATCATGCCTCACCTGGTCTTTTGCATAACCTTCAGGCCATTCCTGTAAACATCTTACCTACATCTTCTGTACACTTCTTTCTGCATCACATAAAAAATAAAAAAGTAGCCATATTTTGGCCTTTATCTTTCAAAGAAGACAGAAAACACCTGTTCCCATTCACCTGATCTACTGCTTTAATGTCAGTAATTTCAATGTCATTTTTACTGTAAAGAACCTCTGATCAACATTACGATGTAGTTACACTTTGGGGAAAACGCAGTATATATGAGAAATGAGAAAAGACAAAACAATGTCAATTCAAATTAATCAAAATGCTTTTTTTTTAAACTTCCATTTATAGTAACTAAACTACACTAGACTACAAAGATGAAAACAAGAACTGCCAATCCAAAGATGCACCTAAAGGTCACCAGAATATTAAACAATGGATACTCCTCATATTTTCAATTGGCTCTGGCAAAAGGTACGGAATAGTTATAGTAGGCCCTATAAAGAAAAAGAGGAGGGAATTTAATCCATGAAGAAAAGATGAATGCCTCACAATATACAAAGGAAAGTATTTGACAGGAGCTGCAAAGAATTTAAGCTTAAAAAGATAGTAACGTGGTACATAGACCAAAACACCAAAGGAAAGCTATCATATTAAAACTCAAGTTGCCAAATTCTGACATTACAGGTCAAGTAATACAGGCAAATTATTAAGTGTTAAAAAATTGTTGTTGTTTGGGGGGGGGGGGGGATTTCAAATATCTACAAAGATCTTCTGAACTGAACAGACTTGACGAACCCTTGGCCCATTATATCTAGAATTCGAAAGAGCATTTATTGGTTTAAACTGGAGGCAATAATTTAAATTGAAAAAAGGCCGGCTCTATTTCTCCGAACGCTCTGGAAAATAAACTTGAACTCTATTTCTCCTAATGGTTTACCGCTCTCGAGATATTGTTAGTTATTTGCGAATGGAGTGGCCCACGCATGTGTGTGTGTGTGTGTGTGTGTGTGTGTGTGTGTGTGTGTGTGTGTGTGTGTGTGTGTGTGTAGGCCAATGTATTAAGTGTGAGGGAGGGGGGATGGAGGAATTTTTTTGTTTGAATGAAGGATTTTAATTTTGCTTTAGGGGCGACTAAACGCAAAATAGGTTACTGCCAAAGTCGAGCAGTCTTGTTTTCTCACAGTTCCTTCCGAAGGCATTTCCAAATGAAGTAGTCCGAGAACATTGGCATAACCACAATTGAAGTATCTGAATATTCAGACATTCAAAAATCTCTGTAGCTCTAGAAATTGATTAGATGCAAAAAATTGCTTCCTCCCAGTCCTAGCAGAATGGCAGAATGAATAAAGAGAAAGATATGACGCCGAAATCTCTCAAATAACCAAAAAATCTAGAACTAAAACCATTCGGAGAAATAGAGGTCAAGTTCATTTTCCTGAGCATTAGAAGAAATAGATATCTAGTCCCTTTAATAAAATAAATAGGCCTAGGCAATTATATTTCCATAGTATACAGAATACAGGATATAGCCTATAATCTAGATGCTATAAAACTGTGTCTATAGTATCATAGTGTGCATCGATTAAAATGATTGTAACTTTACCAGGAGCTGAATTTCAAGTTGTCTAGACTTGTCAGCATAAAACCGAGATGTGTCTAGCCCTAAAGGCATTTTTTCAGGACAACGGCTGTTTCTTTTCCTAAAAAGAGGGAGGGGAACTCAAGGAACTACAAGCTCAAACGCATCGACTGATCATTTTGCAACTGGTTGTTTACAATTGGCAGCCATATTTGTCAACAGGAGCGATAACTCTTACTCGATAACTCCAGAAAACGTCGACCGGTAGTTGTCAATGGGAGGTAACTAAAATATACTTTTTAAAGATTATGTAATTTATTTGTTACGTCCCTTTGCTCATCGACCGAGTGGCAGCAACAGAACAGCACAAGAAGAAGAAGAAGAGGACGGGGAGGAGGAAGAAAAGAAGGAGAAGAAGGAGAAGAGAGAGAGACAGACAGACAGACAGAGAGAGAGAGAGAGAGAGAGAGAGAGAGAAAGAGAGAGAGAGAGAGAGAAAGAGAGACAGACAGAGACAGACAGAGACAGACAGAGACAGACAGAAACAGAGACAGACAGAGACAGACAGAGACAGACAGAAACAGAGACAGACCAGAGACACTAAAATATAATTAAATACTCTCTGGACAGACAGACAGCCAGGCAGGCAGACATATAGATGGACAAAGAGAGAGTAAGAGGGATGGAGAGCGAGCTTGTTTGAGCGGTATGTGTTTTTGGAGTGCACGTGAGAAGCATACCAACTGAGCCCCTTCAACAAAACCACCAGTCGAACACTCTGCAAGAATCAGCCCGCTCTCTCTCTCTCTCTCTCTCTCTCTCTCTCTCTCTCTCTCTCTCTCTCTCTCTCTCTCTCTCTCTCTCTCTCT